TCCACCTGGTGCCTCGGCTGTGGCAACGTTGCCTGCCACACGGCTTCCCCTGCTGTAGGGGGGTCATGGGGAGGGTGTGTGTGCCCACTGAGCTGCCCTCTGGAGTCGGCCCCTGCACACGTTGCGTGTTTATTACAATTATATCTGTTTACTTTGGCTTTCCCAGCTTCAGGATGTCGTATGTTTTGCATGCATTTACTTTTTGTTTGGTTCAGCTTTTTTCTCTTTAGTAAACAGCTTTGGATTTTGTTTCAAATGAGAAATGGTATATAAAATCACCAATAAATTAAATACTGATTGATTGTTGAGTGAGGAAAATATGGAACACTGGTATTGGGTAAGGAAGAATGAAAGGAAGAAATGGAACATCCTGGAAGATGATGTACCCGGCTGTCCCAAACCCTGGCTCTGAGCACGTTGCAAGTCGTTATTTATTAATTTTCTAGATTTATATCGCACCTTTTCCTTTTTAAAGAACTCAAGGAGGATTATAAGTAAGTTCTCAGAGAGCTGTTTCTTAGTTAGCCAAAGCAGCACCTTCCACACATTAGAAAGAGGTTTCTGTAGCTCATGGAAATCCAGTTTTCCAAAGTACCCCCCCCAAAAAAAAAACCCTCTAGAAATTTCTTAAGAGGGAACCCCTGGAACATTCCACGGCCTGAGCATGCTGAGTGCATGTGGACATTTGACTGGCCATGCCTGTGTGCGCACAGGGGCAGTGTAATCAAAAATTGGGTGCAGAAGGGTAGTGCTTCTTTAAAAACGAAGTAGCACTCAGCTAAATGAACCATGGATCTGACTCACTGTTTTATCAGAATGGTACCTGATGCTTCTTATGTTTATAACTACTTGTACTGTAACATAATATACCTTCTACTGTAGGAAAGAAAAATGCAATATCGTTGACAGAGAGAATAGTTAGGCTGTTATTTTACTTGCAGGCGAGTGCTTTATCCCATATGGCTTCTCTGTTATATATATCTAAATGCCCACATCCATCCTCTCATTGAGTTACTCAGGTCTCTCTTGAGCCCCCAGGCCTAACGCTAGGGGGCGTTCTCGACCTGGAACGCAGCTGTTCAGATGCAGCAAAGCTATCTGCCTGCTTGCCTGGTACAGGCCATGAATCAGTGATACCCCTTCAAAGTATTTTCTTCAGAGAAGCCCAATGAGTGGGACTTTGGGGATCTTTCCAGATAATACGATAGCAAGAGACAGCTTTACCTGGTATACCTTTGTGTATACATAGTTCAGATTATAAAAACTATGCTATCTTGTTTTCTATCACCTTCTGCTAGCAAATATTAATTGAACGATCATATTCTCTTGCAGGGAGAAGACTGTGAACTGCTATATGTCACTATAAAATCCACTTGAGATAAAGCTTTGACTGTGGGGAGATATGGAAATGAAATTAGTGATGGTGATGGTTCCACGTCATGGACAAAAAGGTGTATTTAAAGTCAAAGAAGGTATTACTGGAGGGCTACCTTCCTCACACATCCGTGATGAATTATGCAATTAATTATCATGCCATTTTACTTTTCAGGCTATTTCCTCACAAATGGATTCAAATTTATGTAGTTTGTGTTCATCCCCTTTGAGATGCATCTGCTAACAAGAGTATTATTTCAATTTCTTATCTGTGAAGCTGGTTTTTCCTAGGAATCCATGTACAGCTCCCAGCAAAATTCAGTGCAGAAATACTGCAAGTGTGGCACAGATGCCCTGTAGCATATCTGGCAGGTTCAACCTTAATAATGACAAATGACTAGATTCTAAACTGAGGAATATCATCCAACAGAGTTGGTATCTCATGCCTTCTCTTGTAATATTCAAATGAATCTTTCAATTAGGCTATCAAAATAAAAATTTATGCATAACTTCTGTGACATATGGAACTTAATTAATGTATTATGCTTCCCATCTGCTAGGCAATAACTTAATGACAAACTAAAGAAGGGATGTATTGGGAATGAAAGGAGATCCAGTCAACTTTGCAATGCGGTTTGTGTGCATGTGAGTCCGTGTGATGATAGGGGGAGCTGCTCAATGTACCATGGGGGTGCCATGGGGAGGCAGACCAAATTAAAGGTAATAGAAATGTGTTATTCCAGTTTGATCTGAGAAGGGAGATTTTAAAGTTGGTTATCTAAATAGATGTATTATTGGTCCAGTATCAATTTGAGGCAAGTTCCTTCCCGTGATATTAAAATGATTAATAAGTTAAGCATCAAGTCCCCCTGAAAGGCCATAAAAATATTGTGTTTCTGTAATTAGTACAAAAAAATAACTGGATATAACAAATCTCTTTTTAGAATGATTTATGCTGCAATGCTATGCTCACCTACCTGCGAGCACAACCTTTTACTTCTCACTAAACATGCGTAAGATTGGGCTGCTTCCTGCTCACTGCCAAGTGTCAGCTGAACATTGTCAGATGTAGCTTTTGAACATCCTTTCTGAGGAGCTGGAACCATTCCTGCCACGTCCCCTGCCAGCTTGGAAAATTGCTCACCACAAAAATAGTATGAAGATGAAGCACGAGCACACTGGAGTGAGGAACATGTGAAGGAGTTGCATGGAGACCCTGTTTGGGATGGGTGGCATCTGCCCAAGGAGCAGCTTTCAAATGCTGCCTGGTCCTCACATGCAATGACTATCAGGTGCCAAATCCAGCAGATTTCCATGGTAAGACATCCTGGTCTTGGGAGAAACTGCATATATGTGGAATGAGATCATTAAAGTCCTAAATGAGCTGGCTTGGTCAGAAGTGCCCTTCAAAACACCAACGAATATTTTGACTCTGGGTCCCAAAGACAGGAAGTCATGATCTCAGGTCATTCAGCTTATTCTTGTTATAGACAGGTTAGGTCAGTAAGCTTCTGAGGTGCACAACTGAGCCAGTTTACTCAAGTGCAGCATGTGAGACAAGCCAGTGGCTTGTTTCTCTACCTGCACCACTGTTTGCCCACTGAACAGATTTCTCTAATGATGCTTGCTGGTGCAGCTTGCCATGCCATCTGAGCTGGGCAGGATGGCTTTTGGGGGCAGTAGGGAGAGGCAGAAATCTGCAGGTAGTCCAATAAACCTTTGCTAACTAGGCCACAATCCTGCAAAGTGGGTTGCTGCTTCTTTAGGGGGGAAAATCTGCATTCAGGGAGGAAAAAGTGATGTGTTAGTCCAAGGCTTGTGCTCAATGCAGAGAGCAAGTTCAATACAAAGATCATTTCTATGTTTATAGCAATGTGGGTGGGGTGCTGTGCTGGATTCCGGTTTCTCCTTCTCTTCCTTGGATTCTTGCATATCAGCAGAAGAAAACATGAAGAACCTGTTGTCGATTCCCTCTGACAAGGCAATTTACATTCTAACCACCGCTCCCCACCCTCGCCCCAGCTCTGTGTGTATATAAATCCGCCAATTTGAGGTCCACACTTCAGGCGTCAGATAAAGAGGGAAGCCTCCCCGAAAGTTTATTCGAGAATAAATGTTAGTCTTTACGATGCAATAAGACGCTTTGCATTCCTCTGAACTGTCGTATGGGCAGTTAGTTGGAGAGATCCCTTCCAGATCTGGGACACACACTCTCTCTCCCCCCCCCCCGCCTCTCTCACACACACACAGAGGATGAGCGAGCGAGCGAGCGTCTCCGTTTAGCCACACGGCAAAAGCGGGAGGTTGGGGAGGCGGAAGGTGGATGTACATGAGACTGGTGCCCCCCTCTTCCCGAAGGGAAGAAAACCCGTGTGGGAAGGGGCTCCGCGCCCTGTCCCCCCTCCCGCGCACACGCAGCTTGTCGAGCTCGGCTCCCGGGGCTGCTTCCCCCCATAAACAGACAGACGGACAAACAAACACACGGGAAAGTTGCACGCGGCTACGCGGAACGTGCCGGCTCGGCTCTGAAGGCTCCGGCCGCATTTCCGCGCCGCGAAGCGGGCTCGGCGCCGGCGCGCGCCTGCCGAAGCGAGCAGGCACCGGGCTCGCGGTGGGGTCGAGCCGGGACGGAGCGGGGGGCGCGCGGAGGCAGCGGCGGGGGCGGCGCGCAGCGAGGCGCTCCCCGCTCCATGCGCCCTCCGCGGGCTGCGGGGGAAGCCCCCCTCGCGCCAGGGCGCCCGTGGAGGGGGATCCTCGAGGGCGGGGGCAGAGCGAGGCGGGCGATCCCCCCGCCTCCCCTCCCCTCCCCCGCCCCCCCGCAGCCGAGGAAGGCAGAGCACGCCGCCGCGCCGCCGCCGCTGCCAATGCGCCAGGCTGGCGGCGCAGGAGGAGATGACGCAAAGGGCCGTGCGCTCCCCCCAAAAAAGTGCTTCTCCCGGACGAAGATGGCGGCAACTTAGCGCAGGGCCCCAAGATGAGGGTGGCCCCCGGGCGGCAGGAGGCAGCCAGATCCGCGCCGCAAGCCGGGGGAAACCGAGCCCGGCGGGAGCCTCAGCGGGAGCAGCAGCCGCCGCAGCGCAGTGGCACCAGCAGTGCTAGGAGCAGCCGCGGCGGCGGCGGCGGCGCGAGAGGAGGCAGCCGCAGCGAGAGCCACAGCGGCGGAAGCAGCCGCGGCGCTTCGGGGTCTCCGCGGCAGCCCCGGCGCGGCGACCAGCAGCAGCCAGCCGGGCGCCAGCGGCCGGCCCGGGGCTAGCGAGGGCGCGGCGAGCGGCACCCCCACCGGCGGGCTCCTCAGGGCGCCGGGGCGGGCGGCGGGGGCGGCGGAGCGCGGCATGAGGCGGCGGGCGGGAAGCGGGGCGCCGGCCGCGTTGGCGCCAAAATGGGGGCCCGCGCTCTGACCATGCCCGGGTGACAGGCGCGGCGAGGGAGGCAGGGGACGGCCACGGGCCGGCCCAACCCGACGCGCAGCAGCTCCGTCGCCATTAGCCCCGCCACCCCGTCGTCGCCCTTCGCGGAGGGGGGAGCCTGGCGCCCCGCCGCCCGGCGTCCATGCCCGTGGGGCCGTCGAGCCCGGCTGCGGAGCCCCCCTCGCCGTGGAGCCGGCCGGGGCTGCGCGCTCCCGAAATATGAGCAGCCGCCCCACGGGAGGAGCCGGCTCGGGCGTGTGCTTCGGCCCGCGGGAGCCCGACAAGCCCTTCGCCGACTCGGAGCGGGCACAGAAATGGCGCCTGTCGCTGGCCTCGCTGCTCTTCTTCACCGTGCTGCTCTCCGACCACCTGTGGCTCTGCGTTGAGGCCAGGCAGGTCGCCGCCGGGCGCCATCGGGACCAGGCACGCGCGGAGCCAGGCATGGGGGGCGGCGAGCGGGCGGCGGGGGCCCCTGGCCGCCGCCGCAGCGGCAGCCCTGCGGCGCCGGGCGCCGGCCAGTGCTTCAGCCTGCCGGGGGACGCCGAGGCTGCCTGCCGCCGCCTGCAGCCCGGCGGCTCGGCGCAGGCGGAGCTCTACCTTCCCTTTTGTAATTCCTACACGCTGCGCGAGCTCTTCGCCGGGCTCTCCCGCCCGGACACCCTGAACTGCACTCTGGACCGAGGCGGCGGGGGCGCCGGGGACGCGGCCCGGCTCGGCAGGGAGGCGGAGTGGCTTCGCTCTTGCCGCCGCTGCGTTCTGGCTTACCAGCGGTACGACCAGGAAGCGCAGGACCGCTACCGAGAGTTTGAGCTTGTGCTCCAGAAATACCTGCAAGCGGAGGAGTACTCGGTGAAATCCGGCCCGGAGGACTGTAAGGTAGGAGCTCCGCGAGGACCGCGCGCCTGCCCGCCCCGTTGCGAGTGTTTCACCCTGCGCCGCCCCCCATGCTCCGTTGGGACCCTTCCCCGCGCTGTGGATGCCCTGACGGCTGGCCTTTGGCCTGTGGCCGGGCTGCGGTCTCCGGGGCTGCCCCCTCTTCCGCGTACGCGCGCGGGGGCGACCCCGCGCTCGCGTCGCCTTCTCCAGGCCAGCGCGACGGGCTCCGGCATGCCGCTGGCCCGCTTCGCCGGGGCTGGAATGCGGCGCTGGCACGGGGGAGCGGCTGCGTGCCAGCGAGCCGGACCCGAGGCGGCGGGAGCGCGGGCGGGCGGGCGGGCGGGGGAGGGGCGGGCGGGGACGGGGGGGCGAGGGGGCTTCCCCTGGCCGCTGGAGGAGCCGCTCGCTCGCTTCCCGGAACTGGCGAGGAGGGCGTCATGCGTCTGGCGGCGCGCCGATTCGGTGGCTTTGCAGAGTTGCCCGCGGTCCGGAAGGATGGACGTGACGGAATGGGGGCTTCAACTTTGGGCAGCGCTTGTCTTGGCTACGTGCATGTGTGCAGCCGGACAGAGCGATTCTGTGTGATTACAGCCACCTGCCAGCGATCGCTCCCCTCCCCCATAGGCTGGCTACTGCGTTGGCCGAGAACTTTAAGGACCTCTCTGAAGGACACCCTGCGGGCGCTTTCTGTGTAGGGTCCGCCTGCCAGCCAGACAGATTCGAAGTGTTTCTTGGAGCCCAGGGAACCAAAGTCCTAGAAAGTGTGGTGACTGAGCCATAGAGGAAAGGAAGCACTCTTCCTCTGCCCATGACGACGTTTCAAGCTGGTTGGGCTGCATCTCTGAAGCTGGGATGAGCTCCAGGTTTATTCGTTGCAAGTCGACTGTGCAGTGAACTGAGTGAGAGAAGCAGCAGCGATGGCAGAGTTTTGGGGATAGCCTTGTTGCTTTGTGTGTGGCTGTTTTTCTCATGTTGCTCAAATGACAGTGGTTTGACCCTTACGGAAAGTGTTTTCACATTGTAGCTGTTGCTGTAGTGACAGGTTTCTAAGGTTGCAGACCTGTGCCCATTTATGTGGGAATAAGCCCCATGGAAACCAGTGGGTCTTACTTCAGAGTAAACATACATAAATAGGCTCAGGCTGTTTGCTGCCCACTGCACACAAAGTGAATAAAAATGCAGGGACCAGCAACAGTTAAACTAGTCAAGACTGTGATTGTGGCCACATGGAGTACATCACATTGATTTCAAGTGTGCATAGCTCCAAACAATGTGTTTGACATATTCATATATTTTCTTCTGAAGTGAAATCACTGCATATTCCTTAGGGTATATTTTGATTTCCAAGGAGGAAAAAAAAAGTTAGCACATCCACCCAAAATCCAAGGTTTACATGGGCAGAATTTAGTAAAACATAAAAAATAATTGCTTTCCAAGGAAACCATTTCCACAGGATTATTTTTTTAAATGCAGCAGATCATTTAAAAGTATGCATTGAATAAATTACATGGGGCGGATTCCAAAGCTTTTAGGATACACAGACTCCTGGGATGAAAGCATCAGTTCAGCCTTGCATTATCATGAGCAGCGTCTTTAAGAGTTTGGAAGATTACCCTTCTGTCAAAAACAAAAGCTGCTTCTTAAGGCAACAGAAAGAGCTGTTTTGTGTTAGCATTTCCAAGTCCTTTCCCCCCTCAACCACAGGCATTTTATTTGGTTGGGCTATAAACTGTGGGAGGCTGGATTTTTTGCAGTGGAACTGCAGTCTGCTGCTGTCCATGGTGCTGCAAACTGCTGCTGCTGCTGTCCATGGTCCTTGATGTTATAAGAAACAGAATATAAACACTTTCTTAGTTCTAAAATGTTTATTATAATAAATAATCTAATTTAATATTATGACTGAGCACTTCGCTGTTCAATAAAATTGATGGTGCCTCTGAATTGCTTACCATTTTGGAAAATAGAAACTATAATTTCCTGGCTTAATCCAAATATGTAACTAAGAGTTTTTGAAGCGTTTGTAGTTCAGAATGTTTTTCTCAGGAGTTGTACAGCACTGTTTTAAAGTCTTTAGAAATGGTGGAATACCCTTTTAGTCTAAAATTAACACATTTAACTATGTATTGCTCTGTCTATACTGCACATCAAATTTCTAGAATAATGTAAACGTATAGATAGATATAATTTTGGCCTTGGTGACAATTGTGGAAACATTAAATTTTACTTTAGTTTTAGAACTTAGTTTAGCTAAAATTTCAAATTCAGTCTATATTTTGTATCATTTAATTATTCCGTGCACATTAACAGAGGCAAAAACATTGAATTTAACTAGTCAGTATTCATCTAAACAGCAAAGCTGTTAAATATGTCATCTTCCATTCCAGAAAAGAGAGTGTTTCTTCCCATTTACAATTTGCATTTGATGACAAAATCAATGATACTTGTTATGCATAACATCTCTTGTAACATTTGTCATCTGTCATGTCTTAACTTCCTTCCTATCCAAATAGCCTCAATGAAGAATTGGTTAGTGTATTATAGAGTACAAATTACAGCTTAGATGTTGTCCTGTAAGAACTTTAGCATGTATATCTAAAATAATATTGGTTATAATAATTAGCCATTGCAGTTAGTTTTTCACAGTTACGATATTATATCATTATGATGCACACATCTAATTTTTCATTTTTCTTTTTTCTAATATGCAATTATTTGAACTAGCGATCTTTCCTTTCTTTGTGGCAAGCAGTCCATGCAAAACTTTATACTATATCAGTTACTTTGACTAGAACAGTAGTTTTTTAAGTCATAAATCACAGATCCCTCCCGTTAGGAAGTTGTTATGGATTACAAATTATAAATCTGATCTTTCCTCCCCCCCCCCCCCCCCCCCCAAATTATGACTATGGCTTAGATAGCAGTTACATTGAAATTACTTGAATTCAGCTTATTCACTGCATTGACTAGTTGGTTTAAAATAGGAGAAACTCACATTGATAGTATTATTGATTTTGGATTTGTATTGGATATATAATTCTTTAGATAGGTCAGAGTAATAGCATAATGGTTTATTGTTCTTGGTTCAATTCCAAGTGTCACTTTTGTAAGTCTGATTTCATCTCACAGTAGCCAGTATGCTGATTTAAAGCCATATGTTGTTGCTGATTCTGGCTAACTTTGTACATTGCAGATGGACACTATAATTCCATGCACTCATGAAGTGAGTAAAGGTGATGTATGAGAACAATTCCTTAACAATTACAGTTATAGTCAAGTGTAGATTAATAGAATACTCATGGCTCTGACTTCGGGGGAAGGATGTCTTTATAGCAACTGAGAAACTATTTTAAAGTATGATATATTTTTGATACTGGTACGTTCCTCGTAAATATGAAACTATCTCATTTAGTCACAAAACATGGTAACAATATATTCAGTTCTATTGATTCTTAAAGTGACCCATTCATATTTATTGTGTAATATAATGGTTATTGGTCTGAGGTTAGGAAACTTGAGTGATACCCAATCATCCTCTAAATATATTCAAATATATATTCAGGTCTTCCTTAAATGAGTTGTCTGTACTTGTTCTGGAATAAAACAAGCTTCTGGAAATTGCAGAGTGAGAACTGGGTCACTAAGAAAGCACATGAAACATGCTTGCTTTCAAAGATGTTTTAAATGAGGCCAGCTATTTGAATAAGTGACTTTGAAAATTATTGCAGATACAATTTTCTACTTTCTAGGAAGGTGTGAAGTGACAATTTCCAGTGCAATGTATCATCAGCCATGAAGATCTACCTTGGTAACATGAGAGTAATCTTATTGGCCTAGTTAGCATAACCCTGGCATACAAGCCATCGTCTGTGGTTGTGTTACTTGAAGGTTGCTGCCTGCTCCCAAATGAGCCATGCCATCTGGGTTCAGGTAACATGCTAAGCTGCACCAATGAGGGTACTTATGGAGGTCCAGCTGGCACATGACTGGCATGCACAGTGGGCAAAATAGGCCACTGTGGTTTAATTCCCTTGCTGCAATTATTTGAACGGGCCTAGTTGTTATACATCATTGATTGCATTAGGACTGTAGACTTCCTGGCTAATTGTACCAGCACTGTACGAAATAAATAAGATAGATAGATAGAAAATCACTTGCTTTATGTTAGGGGAGGAAATGCTGCACACTCCCAGCTGTAGTATTTCTCAGATTCCTTCCGGCCTGAGAAATCAGGGGACGCCAGAGGGCCAGTCTGGTTGAATAAGCTGATAGAAATCACCCAAGGCTGCTGTTTTCTTAAGCCTGGGACTTTTTACTGATAGAAAGAGTGGTGCATTCAGGACAAGACCCTTGGGCAGATGTTTGGGGCTACACTCAGCGGAATGGGCAAGGTTAGCTTTCTGCTCTTTCTGAAGTAGAGGATATTCCCTATAACACCACTATGTGTAGTTTCAAGTTACATAGTTGGACCAGTGGATGGAGGCCATCACTTCCTGCCCGTGTATGATTGAGCTATTTGTCCTGTACCACCAGCCCCTGTATTTCAGCCTGCTTGCTTCTGGCTGAAGGCACTCAGCCTACCTTTGGGCCAGAGCACATGACAAATTTTAGTAATAAAATCTAGAAGATTTATTTTATGCTAATGTAATATTTTACATCGTATCTAATGACAATGGGCAAGTGTTTGTAATGATTTATTTATTTATTTATTTCATTTCTCACCTGCTCCATCGCTAATGTTATCTAGGCAATAAAACATGACATGAGCTTGCTGACTGGCAGGTGAGCTTAATGAGTCTCTTTTAATTTATCCTAAGATAGTCCAATTGTTAGGGTGTTCCCATTCCAAATGCTTGCCTCTACATTATTTCGAAACAGATTAGGTAAAGATGACTTAACCTCGTTGCATATTTGCTCAGTGTGTTTCTAGCTCTAATCTCAGTTACCACAGAAACAAGGGTGGGATACTAATTTTTAAACAGGCTTATGTCCCCCACCTAGGA